TGGTTTAGCCCTACTGCACGGATTCTGTTGTTTGTTCTTTTCTTTGTAATGCTCATCATTTTTCGTAGAACTACCAGTAAATTGCATTAGGAATTTGTTAGGCTATGTAATTTATGAATGCTAATATAAACATAAACATGGTAAAAAGTATTGTCCAAAATGAATATATTTCGAATGAAACCTTAGCATCAATGTTCGTATCCTGTTGACTTTTTATTGCCTGTAACACAGACTTGATGGAATCATTGAGTAGCAGTCGAATGCTACCTAGTTCTTGAAAAACCTAAAGAACAAAAAATGGTTATAATGTATCTGACAATTAGAGGCTAACACACACATACACACACACACACACACACACACACACACACACACTCACACACACACACACACACGTATATATATAAAAGACTAAAAATCAAAAATTATGTATACCTCTTTCTTGAACAATCCAAGGTCTGAACTGACCTACGTATTAAAATAGAAAGAGTTAAAAAAATAATTTGCATAACATAAATTAAAGAAACCGGTTAGGATTCTCTTAAGAGGTTACATTATCAACATCTTTTTTTTAATTTTTTTAATTATTTCACAATATCTTTCTTGTCATCTATTCCCATTGCCTGCTTATGTCCAGATGGAGATGGAGCATCTGTCGGATGCTCGGCCTTTGTTTCAGCTTCTTCAAAGATGTATTCAACTTTATGTGGCAAAGTCATTCTAGAAAGCTCTTCTGGGGCGTTAAGCATGTTGGTGAACTGAGTGAAAAACAAATGTGAGGGACCTAGTTATCATATAATAAAATTTGTAGATAATTTGTATTATATTGTCTGTCCAGAAGTGAAAAATATTTACCTTGATCTATGATGGTTTGATCATTCTCTCATCCAATGCAGATATCCATATCTTGTTCTTACTAGTTATCCAGTTAAGTATGCGGGGGATCGAATTACCAACCCTTGTAGCTATATCAGTGTTGACTGTACAACAACACTCATACAACCAGATTTGCATAGCGAGTGGAAAATCTCGAATGAGATAAAAATGCATAAAAGGGTTGAGTTTATGTCTAACAGACTGAAGCAATTGCGCATAAGTTTCGATACCCCATGCGAAATTCGCATACTGCTCCAAGTCCACCAAGTAGAACTTAAAATACTTTATCAACCCATTATCTTTTTTTGAAGGACAGAGGAAGAATTCTATCAGATAGAGAATACATAGCTTGACTGCATCCTCATCATTCACCCAACTACGACTGGTTACAATTTGTTTCAAGTATGACTTCTCAATTTTTTTCTTGTTCGGAAAATAGCTCCTCATTATTTTACTGTCATACTTAGTTGTGTAACCAAAGTCTATTACTTTTGTAAAACATCTAAGGCCAGTGATAAGGACAAACTCCCTCAACCCAAAGTTCAGCCTCTCACCCTTTATCTTTGCTGTAAAAAAATGAGAACCGGATGCCTTCAATTCATACTTCATGAGAAGGTGAATTGACTGATTTTGGATACATATTTTGGACAGGGAAAGAAAATGCCCAAAAAATATCTTCTTAAACAACTAATAAATACAATTATACTAGTACAATTTAGCTACAGTCAGAAAGACATTAATACATTATATACAAGTAAGTTACAAAATTAGTTAACATATATAACAACTGACCACATTGAAGCTACAAATGCACTGATAAAATTATGTTTAGAGCAAGAAATTAGAAAGTAACAACTAGACATAATATATACAATTTGTTTACAAAAAATAAAACTAACGTCTACAAATAGAGCAAATAATAACCAATAATACCAACTAAATCATGTAATACATTCTCAAACAAAATAATTTCGAATAATATACAAGAAATCTACAATTTCAAGAAAAATATAGAAAAGTTGATAACCAACAACAAATATACACAATATAGACAAAATTTCTACAAATACAGAAAAATAAAAAATATGTATAGTCATGAGAATGAGAACAGGTGTTGTAACGTTAAAAAAAGAACGGATTGTAACTAATAAAATTTTACCTTCTCCAGTGACTGTTAGGGTATGATTTTAGGTGATTTTTGAACCTTCTTCTTTTTTGAAGGTTTGACAGAAGGAGAAACTTTGATTTTTTTTTTGCAGGTTTCGGGATAGCTTCTTCGACGAAATCATCATCACAAGCAATTTCTTTGCCCTTCCGCTTTACTGATTTAGTAGATGTCGAAGCTTCACCAGCATCCCTGTCATGCTTGAGTTTTGTTCGAGCTTCTACCCTAGCTTCACGAGAGAAAAGCTTGGACTTTGTCTGTGGTTTTGCATGTGCCGATTTTACTACTTTTTGGGGTGAATCCTGTGAGAAAACACCCAAATCAAAAGTAGGAATATCACCAACATTAGATTTTTTAGGGCTATTCTTCGGAACTCCTTTCTTCTTCATTGTAAGGGAAGGAAAATTTTAAGCTGTTACTGATTTTCGTAGGATTTTGAGCGAGAATTCAGAAAGATTGAGAGAGATTATAAAAAACTTTTGAACAAAAATGGAAGAGAACGTTAATGGAAGGAGAGAGTACAGAATCTTGGGGGTATGGACAGAGAAACGTGGGGGGAGTGGGATATGTACGTTAGCGAGATTATAGGAGTTAATTGATTCTCATTAAATTTCTAAAATGTATATAATTGATAAATTGTATATGCCTATATAATTAAATTGAAACTTCAGTAGGGAGGGTAACAAGGTTTCAAATAATGTATAGAAAGGTAAAAAGTCAAAAGGTTAGAGTGTTGTCTCCAAAGCCCACAAGTCAAGTATGGGCCATGGGCCTATTGATAGGTAAAAGTTGTGAAAGGTTGCATTTTTTAGCCACTTTTTAATTTTTTGCTGCTGTATGAAATATAATTGAAAAAAGATACCGTTATAATGTAAAGATAAATTTGAAAATAATTGCCTTGTTAAAGCACGAAGAAATTTCAGCATAATATGTTGGATATTTTATCCAAATGATGGATGCCACGAGTTTGATCGAGGAAATGCTAGTCATAACGAGTGATAAAAAATTCTGTGAATATAGAAGCGATAGAGGCTGAACATTTGAATAAGTAACCACAAGAACATTTGATCATAATCAGATACTTGAAAAAGAGCCACCATCAGCAACAACCTTTCATTAGAACCTAGTGCCAATGGTGGCACATCAATAAGACTTCACAATGGCAAGTCTTTCATTATTGTAGGAATGACACCATTTAGCCACTTTTAAGATTTTTGTTTAAAACATAGTTAGTATTTGCGGAGTATTTAAATTTGGACCACTTCACTGTTGGGCTTCTTCTTCTTCTTCTTCTTCTTTGTTGTTGTGCTGTTTCTTCATCTTATATAGGCCAAATCTTAATAAGAAGTTAAATATTGTTGGACGACACAGTAGTACCGAGATGGTTAAAGAGTTCTATCCATTGCATTGGTGATTAGCACACATCCAAACTATCCAAGCAAACAAAATACCAAACTCGAAAGAGGGACATATATAACAATATGATATCTAGATTTATGTAAAAAGCGAGAAACAAAATTATTTGATCACGACAAAGACCTTTTTTTTCACTGGTTTGAAGTTCAACTATTGCACTTTGAACTTTAGACCATGAAATTTGGCTATGGCAGTTTAAATTTTAGACCAAGTTTGAACTACGGCTATTGACACTTCAAACCCGAGATACAGGGGCGAAGCTACGTGCAACCAAGGGTGGTCAACTGACCACCCTTCGCCGGAAAATTATAGTCCGTATAAGGTAAAATATTACTTGTTATTGATAAAAAATAGACTTTGAACACCCTTACATAGCCCACTGGCAAAGGTTTGAACACCCTTGTTGAATTTCCTGATTTCGCCACTGCCGAGATATGAAGTTTTCCTATGAGTTTATGACAATTCAAACCCGAGATATGAAGTTTCCCTATGAGTTTATGACAATTCAAACTGTTATTGTTGCACTTCATATCCATTGTGTGAAGTTTTGAGCTGATATTATTGAACTTAAACCAGGGGCATAGCTAAGTGATGTAGTATGGGTTTAGGTAAACCCATGCTCCTCTCTTAGACTATATATAATAATATTATATATATTTTTAAATTACTTGAATATAATATGTGCGCACAAGCTCAAAAATGTCCAATGGTGCAATGAATATTAGGTACACTTCTACAAGTGAAATCGACGGTTCAAATTTCACTTCTATCGGCCTTATTTTTGGCACTGAGTATATATTTATATATATGTGAAACTCACCAAAATTGCAAAAATAATATAATTTTCAACCGATAATTTCAAAAGTATTGTTGGTTCATTTCTTAATCTAACTTAAATAAGGAGGTATGAATGGGAAATGGAGGAAAAAGATTTGGAGAGAAACGAAAATTTTGAAGTATTCCTTTTATTAATGCACTTAGTCCCTCATAAAATGGAAAGAAAATCTTTGTGCTATATAAAGAAGCACATATTCTAGCTCTTAAAGAGTTGAGAAGAAGTGGTGCCTCGCGTCGCCGTCGTCGCTCGGCTCGGCCTTGGCTTAGGCTTAGGCTTTAGCTTAATTCGCGACAGTGATTTTCCTAACGGTCAGAGTCGCGCCTAACAGAAATTTAATTTTTGGCAAACAGTCTACCTTCTCATACATAGGAATAGCCTCATTTTTAAGAACCGAAAATCTGAAAATTCTCCCCTCTTCTGCATTTCTGCATTGTTTTTCCAAAAGCAAAACGTAAGTATCAGTGTGGTTTACTGTCATTTGTTGAGTTCGACGAAGTTCTGTACATAATAGTTGTTCCGTTCTATTGTGGGAGGAATTAATCCAATAACCTTGGACAATAGTGAGGAGATTAAATTCCTTAAGAAAACACAGTTTTCTGTTCGGCTCGAAACTCATATTCTTCTGATTATATTTCTGTTTTGTTTTATTTTGTATAAATTATTTTTTGAACACATATTACTAACAAAAAAAGACTAATGCTAAACCCGTCAAATATAATTCTAGCTCTTGCTCTTTATAGCGGTGCACACATTCTCGAGTTCTTGGATTGGCCACTGCTTCAAAATTATGAGAAAGAAGTTCAAAGTGAAGAAGATTTACAAAAAGAAAGGTAAAAGTTTCAATTATGTATTGTTTCACTGTACAAACCGTTTTTCCGATTTTAAAAGACCAATATATAGTACGTAACTTCGTATTGATCAAATGATCATTTTTGTCTGTAGGAAGCATGTTTGCAGCAATAGAAATAAATTTTCTTGTATAACAATACAACGCTAATTCTGATTAAAGGACAAGGACTGATTTTCATTGAAAAATGACTAAATTATGTTGAAATTATCCAAACTAAACAATCCTTTTGTCCGTCCGCCCAATGTTAGTAACGTTCTCTATTGAATGTTTCGTAAAGATAGTCCGTTTAGTTTGGACAAGTTGAAACTCCATTTCAACTTAATTATTTGAAACTATCCATTGTCATAAAGAAACTATTGCTCCTTATGCATCTGAACAAGTAACTGTTCTTGTGATGGAAGAACAGTATAAAAGGAGAAGCCATGAGTTGGGTTCCAAAATACAGAAAAACCTTCTTAATTACTACACTATCTAGTGAGGATTTCTGAAGACTCACCGGAAAAGTGAAGCCGGAGAAACTAACGCCGACGACACCGTAACAATGGCCGGAGGTATGTCCAATCTATATTTACGCTCTGCTCTGCTCTAACAGTTGGTATCAGAGCGATTGATTAGCCTCTGCCTTGTTAATTTCGGAATTTGCAAGTTATTCAAAAATGGCATCTTGTTTTTAGATCTGCGTTTTTGAAACTTTTGAAGCAAATTAATGGTATAAATTATACGAACACTGATTTCCTAGCATTTCTGTGACTCTAAATGTGATATTTGGTGTTGGATTCGTGAAAATGAATAGGGTCTGTAAATGGGTTTGAAACCGGGTCGAAAAAATCCGCTAGATGTTGGAGACGAAGTCGGTCTATTTGTGACTTTGTGCTGCTCTGCTGCTTGAAACGGTGTCGTTTTAGAAGGGTCAAAATTAAATTAAAATATTCTTTATTGTTGAAATCTAGTAGCTTTTGGACTCTGACGGAAATGGACCAAATATCAAACCTATTATAGTAGTTTTAATTAAATCAAACTGCCAACATGTTACCAACTAGCAGCAACGTCTCTGACCAAAACACTTGAACTATGTGCTAAATTATTTTATTATTGTATGTATATTGCATATGGTTTCTTACATACAAATACTGAGACATAATCTTATTGCATAACGTATATAGCAATAATATTGAATAAACTTTAGAATTAATGTATAGTGATCCACGTAAGTTTATTTAATTAAAATTTGGCCACAGCAACATTGATTAAATAGAATTATATAGTATTATGTTTAAGACACATAAGGAAATTATAGACATTAAATTATCTCTAAAGTTTTTGGAGTAATATCTAAATGATCTGTAATTTCTTTTTTGATTAGAGATTAGCTACAACATTTTTAGTCAATAAAATTTAAGAATAAGGATCGCATAAGGAAATTTAGACAATAAGCTTGTGATTAATTATGCACTATATAATAACTGATGAACCTTTCTTATATTTTGCATAGTTGATTAGGATAAAATATTGAATGCTATTTCATAGTTACCTTCATGAATTATAAATTAGAATTTAATAGTATTATCATAAAGATAGAATATCATTCTAGTAACAAATTAATAATTCTATCATAAAGAATGAATCTAATTGAATTAAAATTTTAGTCTACAGATAAATTTTATGTCAGTAGATTCATTTACATGATTTGCGATGGTGAATCATGATATTTGTTTATTTGCTTCAAATTTATGTTAAGTATGTATATTTTTTACTGTTAGTCCCGCCAATATTGCTGTATATGTAAATAATAATTCTGCAAAATATAAGTATCGTAATGAAACAGTAATTNTGTATTTGTAAATAATAATTCTGCAAAATATAAGTTATCGTAATGAAACAGTAATTAATTCGAGCCCACTGAATTCACAGTGTTTCCTTAAGGAATTTAATCCCCTCCTAGTACCCAAGGTAATGGATTATTTCCTCCCAGGATAGAACGAATCACACACAGGTGTAGCGGTACTTCAAACCCCAGTGTTTCAGCGAACACAAAGTTCAGTAGCAAATCACACTTACAGTTGCTTTGTTTGAAATAAAAATAATGCAGAATGAAAGGAGTAGAAATTCAGAAAATCGTATGGAAATGCTGAGAGGAAGGAGTGCAATGTATAGCCAAATCTGTTGAGCGTTTTCAGATTTTGTCTTGTGAATTGTGTGTCTTTCTTCAATAGCTGCTGCACATATATATAGCAGCCAGTGTTGAAAAAGAACAATCGTCCACCCTCCATGGTGGAGCAAGCATTAGCTTGTTTGTGGAGCAAGCACATTCATGGTGGGAAGAGCATTAGGCGGCTGCCTTGTGGTCAAAGAAAATATCTGTTACAAATGCGGANCCTCCATTTCCCATTCACCCTCATTTTAAGACTATTTCATCTTAAAAAACAAAAAACCTCAACATTTACAGTAATGCAACCTGTGAACATTTATGATATCTGTGATATTCCTTAACTTAATTGTGAGAATTATAAGATTTGGAAGGAGAGAATTCTTCTTCACTTAGGGTGCATGGACATTGATTATGCTGTTAGGAAAGACGAACCACATATTACTGAAACCAGCACTCCAGGTGAAATTGTTCTTCATGAACAATAGGAGCGGTCTAACCGCTTGAGTGCCATGTTCATCAAGACTAAAATTATTGTTGGTATTCGTGGTTCTGTCGAACAGTATACCAATGTCAAGACGTTACTGAAGGCTATTGATGAATAATTTGAGACTTCAGATAAGGCATTTGCCAGCACCTTAATTATGAAATTCTCATCAATGAAGCTCAATAGTGTGAGAGGTTTGAGTGAGCAAATCATGAAAATGCAAGATTTAGCGGCTCAATTAAAAACTCTTGAGGTTGAACATTCTGAAATTTTTCTTGTGCACTATATATTGAACTCTCTTCTATAACAATATGCTCCCTTTAAGATCTTTTATAACACGCATAAAGGATAAATGGTCTATTAATGAACTTCTGACCATGTGTGTTCAAGAGGAGGGCCGATTGCTGATGGAAACATGAGAAAGTGCATTCATGGCTACTTAAGGAAAGAGGACACATCAAGCCAAGAAGAAGGGAAAAGGAAAGATACCCCTTGAAACTGACATCAATAAAGAATCAGTGTGTTTCTTGTGTAGAAAGAAGGGCCACTTGAAGAAGGATTGCATTAAATTTCAGAAATGGCTTGATTAGAAAGGTAATTCAATCTCTCTTGTAACTTATGAAGCTAATATAGCGGATGTTAATCATAACACATGGTGAATTGATTCTAGTTCTACAATCCATATTACAAATTCCTTGTAGGAATTAAGAAACCTGCGGAAGCCAGTGGGAGCTGAGCGAAGCATCTATTTTGGAAATAAAATGCAGTCGCATGTGGAGGCTATTGAGACATGTGTTTTAGTTCTTAGTAGTAGTTTCATTTTGAAATTAGAAAAGATCTTTTATGTTCCTAATTTTTCTAGGAATTTAATTTTAGTTTTAAGACTTGTACCCTTTGGTTATTCCTTCAATTTTTCAGAAAGTTATATCAATCTACTTTATAAATCTAAAGTTGTCGCTGATGGTGCATTGTCTGATAGTCTTTTCTCTCTTAATTTACAAAATGATTTCACTCATAATGTTATGCATGTTCAAGTTGGTACTAAATGATGTGTTATGAATGAAGATTCCTCTACTTTGTGGCATCTGAGATTATGACACATTTCCATAGATAGAATTAAGAGATCAGTGAATGATGGAGTACTTAGTGCTCTAAATTTTATTGGTTTTGGTACTTGTGTGGATTGCATTAAAGGCAAGCAGACCAACAAGTCAAAGAAAGGTGCCAAGAGAAGTTCAACCATATTAGAAATCATACATACTGATATATGTTGTCCAGACATGGATGCATATGGTTAGAAATACTTTATCATCTTTATAATGATCACTCACGGTACATGTATCTCTACATGCATCATAATAAGAGCGAAGCATGATGAGCACAAAACACACCACAAAATGATTGCTCTCTAGTCAAAGATAGTATAGTTAAAATATCGTCTCAACGGGGATTGATTTAAACAATGTTCGAATACTTTCTGGTTTATTTGATATTCAGGATGATAAATACTTGATTTTTGGTAATTAGTAAGTATAATTAACTACTAAATTAATATTACGACTAGTTAGACTAGATCGCAGAGAATGAGGGTTGAACTAAACTGTCTGATAATAATATGAGAAATAAGGGTCGCGACAAGATAGGTGTAGGATAGCTATTCGGGATTTAACTCTGGTTGAGTTCACTTCTAAGGTTCTAATAATTCTCACGAATTCACTCGATAATTAACTTAACTTAAGATCAAGACTCCTCTCTCGATTAAATCCGAACTCTACGAAATAAACTATTACGAAGCACTGTGAAAATATGTAAAAACACGTTAAGGAACTAGTCTTAAGGAAAACGTCTCTAGAATATTCTCCTAACTTAGTTTAATCAATAATTCAAAAAGCTCTCTCAGTTACTTAGAAGAATCACTAAATTAAACCAAATTAAATAATGCAAAGATAATCACCAATATTACTCTTTCGATTAAATAAACCAGTGAATAATTTCTTGATCAATTTAAAGCTCCATAAACGTATTCAAACAATTAAACTAGAGTTAAATCCACAAATATCAATCAAAATACCATATCCGTCAAAACCCTAGGGAATAATTTCTTCATATTTATGGAGTAGTTTACCTTAAGGTTTGACGTGATTTGGTGACTTGGTTGTTGTTTATGGATTTGACTACTGATTTAATCGAAAGAGAAACATCTTATTGAATATTATTGCTATGCTTTAGTTTATCTTGGTGATTCTTTGAAGTAATTGAGAGAACTTTTTGAGTTACCATTTAAATTAAGATTGAGAAATATTCGCAAAAAGTTTCTCTTAGTTCATTCCTACCAATAGATTCTTGCAAGTTTCACCGCACTTCACATTAGTTTATTTGAAAGATTCAGATTTAATCGAGAGAGGAGTCTGAATCGAAAGTATAAGCTAATCACCTATTGAATTCGTGAGAATCGATAGAACCTCAAGAGTGAAATATAACAGTATCATATCCAGAATAATAATCTTGCACCTATCATTTCAAAACTCTTATTTCTCACATTGATAAAAAACCAACTCTGTTAATATCTAGTTCTTTGCAGTCAATTGTCAATTGCTTTACTTTAGTAGTTAATCGTAGTCCGTAATCCTTCCAATCAAGTTTTGATAATTCTGAATAGCAGTTAAACCAGGAATTACTAAAGCATTGTTTAAATCCAATCCATGTAGATACGATACTCATACTATACTATGTTTGGCTAGTGAGCATTAATTTTGTGTTGTGTTTTGCGCTCGTCAAATTTTGGAGCCAATGTTGGGGATTGATAATTAATAGTGCTCAAAATAATGTTTGGGGCTAATTTGGGAATTAGATTTTTTTTTCTTATTTTTTTTTCTTTTTTATTTTTCTTTTGTTTTTGTTAGTTAACTTCTATCAAGATTTCTTTTGTAGTACCTGACAAATGCTAGAAAGAAAACTTGAAGAATTATTCTTGATATTGAACTCTAATTGTTGTTGAAGATGGAGTACAACCAGTATAAGAAAATGGTTGAAGAGTTAGCAACTGAACATTATCACAAGTCTGCTATTTATTTTAAATGTAGTGGAAATCATCTATGGGTTAATTGTCAAGCATGTAAATATTCTTCCTACGGTTTATCTTTTGAACAGTCTCACTCTATTTCTAATCCATATAGGTATGAGGTTTCATATGGGCACAATCTTAACTTTGTTTGGGATGAATACCCTTATTATGACTGGAATGAAAGCGAAGTGAGACAACCACCTCAAGAGGAGAATGGTAGTTTAGAAGAACTTATGTATAAGTTCATGCACAGTGTTGAAGAAAGGTTTATACAAAATGTTAAAGCCATTAAGAACCTAACAACGCAAGTGAGTGAAATAGTAAATATACTTTCAGAAAGTTTATTGCATTGTGATAGTGAATATATGGAGGAAGCACCCTATGAGAATGAGCCTACCCAAGAGGATGAGCATTTACAGAGAGAACTTCTCACTCTGCAAGAAGACTTTGATTCAATTGAGATGATTAAAGATGAGGGTTTGGTTGATTGTGAAGCAATAAAAGAAGAGTTCAAAGCCCCATCCACCTTTTCACATTTACAACATATACTGCAAGAGAATGAGAAACGATTGGTCTAGGACATAACAGAGGAATATTCTCATGACCTTTCTTCTTTGTTTTCTTATTCTAACATTAATCATGTGTATTTTATTTTTGGAGATTTACAAGAAGATGCATGTAGTGATCTTGTAAAAGAATCAGAAACACATTGAGAATCACCATGCAGGAATAATTTACCGCTCAAAAAGAGGCCAAGAAAGAAAAAAGAGGGTCTTGCAGATATCTTTAGAGGACATTGGCCTAATGGGCTCTATTAAGAATCCCAAAAAGCGGAAACGAAGATTAAATTCAGAATTAGGGGTGGAATTCATAAATTCTTGAAAACGTAAAAAATTCAGGGAAGTTTCATTTACCTCTTGCTTTTTACTTGTGTGTGATGGGGATATGCCACAATTTAAAGTGTGGGGTGGGGGATGTAAATATGTGTGTATATTGTTATTTTATTTTTGTGTTTTTTGTTGTTGTTTTGTTTGAAAAAAAAAAGATTTTTTTTTTACTTTTCCCAACGATGGATTTCCTCGACTATCTTCTTGAGGGATTAAAGTCGAGAAAAAAATGGTATCTTTTATTTTTGTTTTATTTTATTAGGTAGTGTAACAATCCCTCCTTGATTTTTCTTTATGCCACGGTTCTTTTCAAAGGGTTTTTACTTGAATCGGGTGTAGTTAACTTTTTTGTTTTATAGAAATAAAAAATCTTGAGTCATAGTGCTAACTTGAAGCAATCTTCCTTGACTGTGTACGCCTTCAGAGTGGTGAGTACCTTAGTTGTGACGCCTACACTCAGTTCTTGACTCGTGTATAAGTACCTTAATTTGTTTGATCTTGACCTTGCTTAACTGATTTGACTAGAGAGTCGGGATAGATCCGGCCCTGAGTGAGTTATGTGTCAATGTGTGAGTGAGGTTTGTGTTGATATTCCGTGCATGTCAGTTGATGTCTAGAACTTGCCACGTGTGTTTTGATGACGTCCATAACACACCTTGATAAGAGATATGATACAGTCGTATGCAATATAAATTACCCAACTATGAGAAAGGGTCGAATCCACGTGGAGTTATAAGGGGTGTTAAGAGTATATACTTGAAGAAAGCGAATGGATTAACTAAATTTGCACTAACACAATGAGTTTTGATTTCTACTTCTACTATTACTCTAATAATTGTAAGCTAAGTAAAAGAAACTAGAAATGAACGATTGTTTTTGGTGTTTTTTCAAATAGTTTAAAAGCCTAAGGATGTGACCATAACTTAGGTGTTCGCCTAATGGGTTAAATACGTTAATACTTGTTTTGTTGATTAGAGTGTATTATAGCTCTCAACTCTATATTGCCTACTTAATACCTCTCGGTCAAAGAGTGATTTTGCCCAATTTGGCTTTCTCAAGTCCAAATGGGTATCAAACAAAATAGTTGATATGAGCTCAAAACGAATTTTTACTATCTCTAGTTTGAACCCTTTAATTAGGCTAATCAAACTCTCAAGTGGCCCAATTCCTTGTTAGCCAAGTTATCCTATATTAGATCCCTCTTTCTCAAGTAGAGACTAAGTCAAAAAGGCATGAATCAATGTTTGCAACCATTGATTCTAAAATTGAAGCATGGACTAAGCACCCAATCATAAACAAGCATTAAATTAAGTACCCACAAGGTTTACACACTAGGGTTGGGTTACAACCCTAGTAAAACTTTAGCTACTCATAGTGGGAATTGAAGAAAATAAAGAATAAAAATTAATTAAACTCATAATCAAAGATTAAATGATAAAATATAATATTTAAGCACTAATATAATCACAAACTTCCTAAAATGGCAAAAGGTAACGGCTACAACAGCTTTTGTTTTTCGAAATTTGACCTAAAATTGTGAAATTCGTCTATTTATAGTGGGCCAAAATTCACTGACAAATATGCCCCTCGGGAGGTTCGCAAATTTCTTTAGTTGGCAGGAGATGGGATTCTGCAGCCGCACATTTTTGGATTGCGGCTGCAAAGTATCTTCTGCGGCCGCACAATTCTTGTGCGGTCCGCACTTCAGCAAGGCGTCAGGACTTGGTCTTCTGCACACTCAATGAACTTGAAATTATTTGTCAGTGCAGGCCCTGTTTTTGCGGCCGCACAATTCATATGCAATCCACACATTTGTCAAAATCATATTGGGTTCTTTAGCTTAGTTTGCGACCGCAAATGGAATTCTGCGGTCCGCACTTTCTTCTGCGGACCACACTTCTTTGCTTTTGTGCCCTTTATTGCCTTATGATTCGGAACACTCCTTTTTGAGTCGGATTTCATCATGGGAGACCGAACTTCCAACATTCCTGTAATTTTCATAATTTTATTAGTTTCGGGAATATAAATCAATACTTTCGGA